GGTGTGTGGCTGTGGATGTGGATGTGTGGGTGTGGGTGGGTATGGGTGTGGGTGTGGGTGTGGGTGTGGGTGTGAGGTGTGAGATGTGGATATGGATGTGAAAGAAAGGAGTATTCGTGCCCATATCCATACTCACACCTTACACCTACACTTCACCCACACCCTCACATCCACACATCCACGCATCCGCATCTATACCCCGCCCATACTCACACCCACACATTCACATCCATACCGATATCCGCACCTACACTCCACTCACATCCCATCGACATCTGTACCCACAACTACGCCCAGACGCAACACGCACACCTAGAGGTGTAAGCCGATGAATTGATCGGCAGTGATGAAAATTTTTTAATTTTTTAAAATCTTCGGCGACAGCTGATTGAAATCTGTAGGTTCTTCAGCGGTGGTAGCTGTAAAAACTTAAATTTTTTTATGCTCACGACGGCGGCGGTCGGAAATTTCGAAACTGAATAAAGATTTAGACGATAAGAAACGCCCGTTTATTTCAATATCTGATTAATAATAATTTTTAAAAAGTTAATTGAAATAGCTGTGTTTCGCACGTTAGTTTAATCAAGACATTACATCTAGGTAATATGAACATGAGTAATGGGTTACTAAACAACTTTGCCCAAAATTAAGCGATCCAGTAGTCCTAAGGATGGACATACATAGTTGATATATATTAAGATGCCAAAAAATTTGCCCATTTTAGTTTTTAACGATAGAGGCTGAAAGACTATCTCTATAAAACATTAATTTTTATCCATGTCAGAGCTGTGATTTTAATTCTACAGCTTTTGTTGTATACCGACCTAGAGAAAACAGGGAAGGGATATAATAATTTGTTGGTTTCGTTTGTTGAATTTCTATCACTTGATAGATTGATAATAAGGGATTTATCATATTGTCTGTGCCTCATGTATCACTGTAAACGGTAATTCTTTTTCCTTTGAGGATGAACTATCATCTTTTTGTTCAAAGTTTCACTTATCGAAGCAAATTTTGCAATAAACTCCTTGAATATCTGACATTTCATCCGCTCTTTTGTGCAAGTAACGCAGATGACAATAAATAATTATCATTTTAGCATATTCACTGCCTTTTTTAGAGTAAAAAAGCTTTCATGAAAATTATGAAAACTCGTTGTATTAGGTAATAGATTCAGATACAAATCAAACTTAAGCCGCCAGCGTAAATAAAAGTGCTTTGCACTTCTATTATTCTGGATACAGAGTATCAATTTTTCGTATATATAAACAACCGAAAAGGTCAAGAAGAAATTTCAAGATTCAAACATACATGAACGTCGATTTTTTAAAAAATTTCGATTTTCGTATGCAGATTTCGGCGACGGCTCAGCTGCACAGCTTACATCTATACACTCACTCGCACACCCCATGCCAACACCTGCAGCTGTTATGAATTCAGCATAGGTAATTAAACATTAGTTGATCTTTTCATGTGTTAAACATTTTTTCTCCTCTCATAACTAATGTATTTTTAGGTATACAAATGTGATCAAACTCAACGATGTCCAGTAATTAAGGCTATAATAAATGCCTATCAATCATTTTACATATACAACATCAGTTAAAAACATGTCTTTTATTTGGTTTTTTTTATATACAATTGCTGTATTTAGATATGTTATTATTTTTGTTGTCAAGGGTAAATTTGATGAGGATTTTCATTCTGGTAGTCTTTATTGTATGCTAGTATTTTACATCTGCTTAATAATAGTTAAATAGTTGATACAATTATATTTATCTTCACAATAAAACCTCAATGTCTTCTTAGTTTCTTAGGATTTTTTTGATAGGCATGTTATATTAAAACCAGGCATGTAATTAACCAATCAAACGTACAAAATTTTTCTTAAATTATTTTGTATTTTTTCGTTTATAATCTCTCCAACTTTCTTATCTATTTTTATGAATACTTCACAACCAAAACCAATATTTTTTATTTATTTTTGCTGTATCGATATCGTTAGCCAGCTTTAGTGTAATTAGTTTTTTCTTGTATCGATTTATTTTATTTGTGTTTATATGAGTTGAAGTACAGATTTCACATAAGATGTGAATAAACAAATGAAAATACTCACTTAACAGATCAAAGAAAAACACATAATTTACTTATATGTCTAGAGAAATAAAAAAAAAGCACAATAAATTCATATTAGAATAAGCAGAAGCAAACTTCTCTAAAACTCAGAAGTAACAAGTTATCGAAGTAGATATTTCGTTCTAGTTCCAGAAACATATAAAAAAAAGCAAAAAACATAAATTAACTAAAATCACTATGTTTTTTTCTTGTTCTTTGTCTAGCACAAATACTAATTCATTTTTTACAATTCAACTTGTTTTCTTAAATATTTTCCAAAGTTCATTGTAGTCATTATTTTTAATGAAGTAAATAATGGAGAGTATTGATGGTTTGTGGTGATATTTCTTACATTCGGGCTATTCTCTGCTTGCCAAAATCCACAGTTCCAAATACATCACTATAGTTTTATTCTTTTGTTTAGAGTATATACCTACACATCGAAATACAGTTCAACGTGAATTAAAACGATTGCATGCAGTTCAGATATCACTTATTACATAATACATTTAAAAAATGCGAAATATATAACTTTAACTGCACACTTATAGTCTGATCGTCATTAAAATTGTTTTTTTGGTATTGCTGTCCATTATATCGATGATATAGCTTCAAAATCAACAATATTATAATTTCAATCATATGATAAGCATCATTCTGCATTAAAAATAGTTATTGATACTTATAACTGTCTTCAAGAACTGAGTATTGAACAAAAAGTTACATCTGTGACGTGTGATAAAGTCAGTGGCACGAAGGAAGCTTTTGACATGTTTGCTGATATTGATCAATTGTGATGTACTATATACCGCTAACATTTAACAATATGTAATGGTCTTGCATTATGGAAAAAAATTAAAGACGAAAATGAATCAAATAAGAATGAATCTGACGTAGAAGACTCGATCGATATAAAAATACATAAAATGAAGTTGAAAATGAACTGACTGAAAGTAATATTTTATTAGCGACTGACAAGAATAGGCAGGGGAATAGTGATTATATTACACTCGAATTACACCACAGTTCAAATACTATGTGATTACAGACCTCTAAAGTGAGTCAATCTGATTTCATCTAAATCTAATGTTCATACTCAGATATTTTCTTCCTTAGATAATGAAAATGAAGAGAGGAAAAATCAACATTTGATAATGGATACATGGGATAAAAAAGTCTTAACTATTGATGTTGAAAATATGGAAGTTGATGAAGATAATAATGAACAAAATATTGTTATAAAAAAAGAAAATTTAGCCGAAACGGTTCAGATGGATTGTTCATTAACAAAAACCATTCGATGTTCACAAATTTTAATAATGTTTATCAATAATGAAAAAAAACTAAAAACAACACGTCAGTTAATTAATGATTGCATCTGCAAGTAAAATTGCACATATTTGACCTTAAAATATCTTTTGAGACATAAAACAATAATGCTTAATCCGTTCGAAAGCAAAGGAAAATTACCAATTGCATCAAAACAAAAAGAAAAACTTACATTACTAGAAATATCAAGTGATGATTGGATGATAATTATTAATTTAATGAATATGTTTGAATAATTATACTAGAATACTAAGAACACCGTCGGTTTTTCAAAACTTGTTCAAATTCAATGAACGATATTTCTTTTTGAAGAAGAATTGTAATGAAAATATCTCTACATTAGATTAATTTAAAAATAGGACAAATTTGTCTGGTATGATTTGAAGAAGGATCATCCTTTTTAAGATTTCATCAAACGAAAAATATTGCATCATATGTAGTTGCTTAGAGCGTCGAATACTCTACATTTCTATTCTTCTTTGAATATTTTCTGATACTGGCTAAAATACTTGAGAAATACGAGAAAACTGAAGTCCTTCATCTTTGTTTTTATCAAAATTTTGACTTTTTTACTAGCAGTGAATTTTGGTAATCTAATCATATTTCCATCATCGAACATTGCTGCAAAGCCAAACTTTCACAAAAATTTTGTCTTAATCTGAGCTACTATTGCAAGAAATTTGAAGAGAGATACGCCTATACCAAGATTAAAAGGCCTCTGATAATTATTTACTTTCTGCGGAGGAAAAAAGAGAAAACTTTTCTAATTTGACGTGAATATCTGCCAAATTGTGACTAGATTTTAGGTCCTGACCCTCATCAATAGATAGACCAATATATACAATTACTATAAGAATGACTTCGTACTTGAAATTCTTATAAAATACTGTATTCTTCATTCCTCTTAAGACTAATTATATTTTAGACTGTCGTTTTAGTCGATAAGAATTTCATTATAGAGCAAACATTGTAGTTATATTATTTTAAACACAATTTGTATGACAGATCTAACAAAGCGTCTTAAATCGTAGCCACTGCAGGACTTTACGGTGCTACACTCATATTTTTGGCGTGTTTTTGCGAGTATATTGGTGATATGACATGAAATTTATTCTTTCTACATATATAACAGAAAAAAATAATACGCGACATCGTCAACATTATCGTATTATTGATCTAGTTCCGGTCTTTGAACTTTGTGTTATTTCAACAGCGGTAGTAATAGTGAGCGCAAGTGATTGCAATCATCAGGAATAGTGAGATCGTGCTGATGTGTAAATCATAGATATTACATGACACCGATAGTATATGCATAAAATTCGATAGTTTAAGGCCTCCTTTGCATCAACAATAGGTTGTTTGAGTAACATTTAACAGATTAGTATCATGAGTGTAACCATTCTGATTGTATATATCCAGCAATAATATTCATCACAATAATGATCCTGACTAGGGTGTGGGCCTGGGATTTGGATGTAGTGTGCGTCGGTGTGCGTGTGAAAAATGAACAGAGTCTGCAACTTACACCCATCACAACACGAAAAAGTATTTTTGACTGAGTATTTTGCAGAGAATCTGTGTTCTATTTCAAATAATGTCATGTGATAGAGGACCCAATAAGCTTTCCTTTTCATATAAAATATATAGTTTCTAGCAGGTTCTCTTTCTAAATACACTTTACGTTTTTGACTGTGATCTATGGCGATGAAAAACGTTGATACTAGACGATATAAAAAAGCGGACTTTGCAAATTTCGCCAGTGAGACTTTCACCAACTGGACACTCGCCACTTGACGGAATTCATTGGTGAAATTCTGGTAACCCAAGAAAAAAGCATCCATTTCAACCATTATAAAACATGTAGAGAATTTCTTTTTTTGTACCGCCATAGTACTCTACTCTTATACTGTAAAACTCTGATTAGACGAATAAAAATACAATCGGTCTAATTAGATGAAATCTTTTCCAAATTCAAAAAAAATGTAGAAGAGTTTCTCGATGGCTTTTGTTCTAAAGTTTTTGTAGTATTTGACAAACATTTTCCATCAAATTCTTTTATTTATTTTTGTACTAGACATTTTATTATTCTAATAAAAAGAAAAGAAAATCTCTACCATATTCCATCACATTGCTGTATTCATAAACAAAATTAATGCAGAAGTTTTGCCTGATCCATTTTATACACACCACCCAGAAATTGGCAATTCAATAAATTCAGGAAAACCAAGTTAGCTTGAGTGCTGGAAATATTCATGTCAAGACTGTATGTGGCTATATATGTAAGTTCGTCAACAGGATAGTGTATGAGAATGGTACAGACTTCTTCATTGTATAATGCCTTCAATTTCTTGAATGTTTCGAAATCCAAAAGATTCAAGAAAATCAAATGATATTCAGTGTTTAGAACTCTTGACTTGAGATTATATGTGTCAATCTTTGTAAATCTTTCAGTAGGTTTGTGTATCACAGTATTTTGAGTCATCCGCAATGTTGAATCCCATCAATGCTCTTGAATTTCTCGAACTCTACTTTCATTATTGTTCAACTTTCAAGTTTTGGATGGTTGGTACTGCTGATATAATGTAGATTATCCTTATTTATACTATGGTGCACATAGTGACATAAGCAAGATGTTCATCATGTCATCTAAATTTTCGGATTGTGATAATTGAAAACTAATTTGTTGAACATTATTTCAAACTAGAATATTAGTTATCTGTGTTTGTCATTATCATATTTATTCAGCTTAACCTGATTATTTTGAAAATTATTACAAAGTATTAAAAAAGTGAAAGCAAATGTTCTATGAAAATGAAATATTTATATTACATATAATAACAACTCATGTAAGTGAGAAGTGAGGTTTAGTGCTTCATTCCTTCGCTTCCTTGTTACGGATCGTGCGAAAAAAGAGATAAAGGATCGTTTGCTGTATAAGAGGCCTAGAGGAAAAAAACAAGAATTAGCATCTTTAAAAAAAGACAAACAAGAATAAACATAACACAGAGGAAGATATAAATTATTAGGTTTCGTACATTGTGTACTTAATAAACTTGATTTAACAGTTATTTCATTTCAAAGAGATATTGATCTATTTACTCCCACCACAACATATTTTTCTTTAAATAATCTTAGCTATTGTTGTGATTTCAAAGATGATATTCTGTTTTCTATGCTTTCCGTTTTTCGTATTGATGAAATGAAACAAAATAGAGAACACTAATAAAAAGTTTATTTAAAATTAACTAACAACAGTGATGAACAATTAGCTAAAGTCTCTCAGGAAATAATGAATAATTTTAGAAATGTCTATCAAAAATCAAGTCGAATATAAACATTTCAATTTGCTACAAAACAAAAGAATTCAAATTTACTCTACTTAAGGAGCCTTCTCGCAAAACATTTTTCACTTAGGATGCTCAGTTTAAGTTAAAATTTTCAAGAATGACCAGTTCTGATAAACATTTCAGTCTGATATCTCAAATTAGAGCGAGCTTCCAGCTTATCCATGATCCATTTATAGCCTCCAGAAGAATCCCTACAACTTCGTTATTAGAAGAAATACAGAGCTCGAGGTGGTTTCAAATTAGAGCATATACCAGTGAGGAGTTTTTTATCAGAAAGATTTTTGGAATTCACTTCAATTCTATTTTTTTATGATGATGAATGTATACATGTATACGTACATGCATATACCTACATTATATTGACCTAAACAAGTCCAGTGAAGAATGTTCTTTACAATGGAATTTTATGCTGGATTTGATAAGCTATGCTGCATGCATAGAGATGCGTCAGAGGGATTTTTTTCTTTGCATTCGCACATTATTCCTAGTAGTGAAATCCATTTTTCTTCTCTACTAAACCATTTTTACGCTGTTCTGTTTTCATTTTACTGAACTGATTCTCAGTTTATATATCTATTTCTATATATTTTGGATAAAGAGAAGTCTTATTTCTTTATTGATTCCATATCTCTTGTGCTGTATAAAATACCATTTTTAACCTAAAACGTTTCTTTTCTGCTTAAAATCTTAAGTTTTTTCTACTGGTCAGCTTATTGTCTTCTGCTGTCTGAAGAGGAAATTTCGCAGCATCTTTCTATGCTAAAAATCAACTTCGAGATTTTCTCGATAAATTACATTTTCTGAAATGGACCATCCCTTCAGACCATAGTTCGAAAGAATCAAATCCAAGCGATGCAGCTGGTCAATTTTATTCCTTTCCTTTATGACATTATTCGAGAATTAAGACTTCTTTATTTTAACCAATCAAAAACACATTTGTTCTGCATTATGGAAAGGAAAATATTAGATGTTTATGCAGTTTTACATAATTCATTCTTTACTCGACAACAGATACGAACGATGCATAAATTAATTCAATACCTAAACATCGCATTGATTATTCTTCTTTCGATAAATTTTAACTCCTCAACTTATTTCTTTTTCGGTTTACAACATTTCTTTATAAGTTGTTTTAATTTTTTTAATGATTCTATTTCTTTATTTAGACGTTGTTTTATATTTACAAGTAGTCCTCATTTCCAAGTTGTATTTTTTTTCAACCAGTCTTCTTTATTTATTTACAAGATATCTTTTCGTATTAGCACACTTTCTTCGGTTATTAACAACTTGTGATTCTTTATCAACATATAGTCAATAGTTATTTCCATCTGTTTATTTAATAAAATCTTGTCTTCTTGTGTCTAGACGCATTATTAACTTAAAAGGTGTGTTTTATTTTCTACCGGTCTTCTTCATTATATTAGAAGATGTCTTTTTATATTGGGATGTTTTCGTCCTTTATTAACAATTGGTCATTCTTTATTAATAGTTATTTTTTATTTATTTCCATCTGTTTATCTTTCAAAACGTTGTCTTCTTCTGTGTATATATGTTACTACTTTATAGGTTATGTTTTTTCCCTACCGATCTTCTTTATTTATTTACAAGATATCTTTTTCTATTAGTATGTTTCCAACAATTATAATCAACTGGTGATTCTTTATCAATAGAGAGTCAATAGTTATTTCTACCTGTTTAGTTATTAAAACCTTGTCTTATCATATCCACAAGCAATCTTCATTCACAGATTGTGGTTTGTTTTACTGATTACGTTTCTTTTCTCAAGACCGGTAAAAACTGATTTTCACGCCTTCATTTATTTAAACGAGGTGTTTATTTGTTTAAAGCTTTGGTGCATGATGGGAAATCCGACTAAAGTTTTAAGTGAC